GGGGGGGGGGGGGGGGGAGAAAGGAATTCACCATTGGATTCGTAATGCGAGACTTAGTTACCCTACCAAATTTAGTTGAATTCCGAGATAGTCAGATTTCTGCACGTAGTTCGAGGCGACTGGGTGGCGGATGACCTCACGAATGTCCCCATAAATAAATTTTATAAAATTCCTTATAATTGAGTTAAAGTTCAAATAACATTAATTTGAACTTAAACCGGAATCAAATGAATCGTTTCGGGGTGAAAAACGGATTCGAAAGTAGTAAATGAGCGGTGCGATGTGGATCGCACATTTAAAAGTGTAAATAGAAGCTAAATATATGAAAAATCAGATTTTTCTTCTCCTTAGCCAGCTGGTCTTACACGTTTGAGAGGAAGAGAAGAGAGAGAAGAGAAAACTTGATTTCTACATTTCTTCCTTCAATTTATGAAGATCCGTCGCTCGGAATCACTTGGACCAAGAGTTAAAGTTGATCACCACGACAAGGGCTATGTGTACGTACTAAGAACAAAGAATTTCACCAAAGATCTAAGAGGAGGCTTTGGGAGAATTCAAGATTTGTGGGGTTTGAGAGGTGTTCTTGAAGCTCTAGCCTTCGATTCACGCTCCAAGAGGTAGGGTTCTTCCTACTTTGGTCCATTTCCGACTTAGAATGCCTTAAGGAAGGGTTAGGCTTATGGGATTGTGTATCCCTTTCCTATTGTTGTTGAATGGGTGAAATGGGTAGAATACATTCTATCTTCACTTTTGGTATATGGAAGTCACTTGTGCACTTCCTTGAAAAATTGTGTTATGTGGGCATGTCTTGTGTTTACATGGTGTCTTTGTGATTAAGTGTGTTATTGACATAAAAATTGTGATAACATGCTTGGATATTGTGTTGTGAAAATTGTCGATGTATATACATGCTTGTGTTATATTGACATTGTGAAGAATTATGGGAGTTATATGCTTATGATATAATTTTGTCATGGGATATATGAAATGTGTTGAAATTGTTCATATGACATTCATTACATATTGAACATGGTAACAAACATGCAATGGTACATTTCATTGCATTTGCACGGAACATAGCATTCGTGGTCATCGACATGGGTGTGGGCATATGTGCATGGTTGTCGTCAACACCACACTTGGTGGAGGATGAGTGGGCTCGATTAAGCTTGGTCGAAGACCTGACTGAGTCGCACAGGTTGCATGGTAATTAGGGTTGTGGTAGCAAGAAGGGGCTAGAAGATCCCTTGGGGTGCAAGGTCCGGTGATTGGGATACGCACTCCCTTGGCTTGGTTTATGAAGTGTGTGGGTGTACGTGGAGCCCTTGGTGGAAATCCATGAATTTCGAGTGGGTTGAAGACCCTTGGTGTAAGCCCATGAACATCCATCCCAAACAAAATACCCTAGATTGGTTAATGTCATTTGTTGTTCAACATAAATGGCAGATTCAAACACATTAACATTGCACGTGTTGAGGAGCTGGAAAGGGCTCGGGTTGATATGCATGAGTGAGTCTCACCTCATTCCATAGCATGACATGGTAAATCCCAACATTGAATGCATATTCTTGGTTGGAATGTTATAATTTGTGGCTTGTTTGCATGTGAACATTTTATGTGCATTTAGGTTGAGAAGTAGTCTCTGTAAGGGATACTCTATTGAGTGTTGCTTACCCTATACGGAACACATTTCAGGTGGAGGATACACGCCCGGGGATGGCTCACACTCGGGGCCTCAAGGGTGAAGAGAGACCAACATGTGGTTTTTAACCTTGAAGTTTTGTAAAACTTTTGGTTAAAAATGGTTTTGACATGTAAATATTGTAATCATATTTGAATGCTTGTAATAAAACTTTGTAGGGATCATGTATAATGTAGAAAACTTTATTATACATGTTTGGAATGAAAATGATAAGGTTTGAAAATGAAAAACAGGTGAAACAGGGAAATCCAGACAGAGTGTACCAGTACGTGTACCGGCGTGACGCTGTCCAGAGAGTTCACCGTACCGGTACGCTTTCACAGATTTTCAATTTTTTTTGTTTTACTTCCACAAGCTTTTGGGCTATGCATTTCTTCTTCCCAAGAGTATAAATGGACATTAATGGAATACCAATGATGGTATGTGGGACCTAGGATGGGTCACTCGCTTAAAAGAAAATATATTTTGTATTTTTAGAAAATCCCGGTAAAGGAGATGTGCTGCCGTGGTGTTGGGTTCACGGGTATTTTTGCGGGTTGATAGGTTATCAATGGACTTATAAATGACCCCTGGAAATTTGGGGCGTCACAACTCGAACTCTAGATGATGATATGATCAATCTCATCACTAGGTTCTCAAAGAGTAGTATTAGACTAAGACTCTTGTTCCTAGGTGTCTTATCACCAGTTCCTTGATGTTTGGAGTAATATTGTACAAAGACTCTTGGTCCTAGGTTGATCCTTAACTGAATAGGACTCATCTAGCAGATGTAGGCATGTACAGGGATGATAATGAGGCATCTTTCGAACTCGTGGACAACCAACTGTCGACAGGCTGGGTGCCCGTAAGAGGCTACCAGTTGGCTAAGCCATCCAAGCCATGTGCCAGCCAGCACTTGCAAAACATAAGCTCCCCACAATTGCCCCCATGCCTTGTTTAATTGATCAAATTAATTGAGGCATGTTTTTGAAAAATTCGGGCTTCGTGGCCCTTCATTCTTGACTGTGAATTTGTCATACCCTATATTAGGAGATCTTTTTGGTTTCCCAGTGATTGAAACGTAACTCAACACGTGATAATATATGTGTCTGTAATGCAATAACGCGTTTAAAATCAATAATGTCACTTAATAACACCAAAAACAGATAAACTATATAACAGAGTACACAATGGTGTCGTTTGTACCAAAACAAAATATTAGAGATTCAATCATTTTACAACAAATAACAGGAAAAACAAAAACTCATGTACAATATGTAAATAAACTAGATTCCTTAGTTTTCCCCCATCTCTACCATGCTAGTGTAGCATTTAACCTTACTCTAGACTTCAGCATCCTGAAACCAATAATTTTTTTGAATATATTGAACATCATAATCAAAGGAAACATGAAACATAATTCTACCCAAAAGATATTCATAACTCACAAATTACAATCAAAGTGAACTCAATCCACTTTGAAACTTAAATCATCCTCATAGGAGCTCCAACGATAATAGGAGCTCAACTATAAGACTAATGAGATAGCTTTCCATCAGGTAAGGAATTCCTCCCATCTTAAAATACTTTTACAATCCAATTTTTTTTACTGACTTAATCATTGGAGGGTCGACCACCGGAGCCACCATTTGGTCCTCGACTTTTGTCCAAAAATCCACCAATAATTACCACCTCATCAAATACCTGTCGGAGCACTTTTCAGGATCAAACAGTTCTCCCTATTCTATAGTTCAAAATAATCATTTTTGGAGCCTAAAATTCGGTCTTCCCTCTATTATATTAGGTCTTCCACTTGAACCGAA